TCTTTGGTATATATATTTCACAGGAAGCTGTTTTGAATTAAAATTCTCTTCAGGGGCACCTTCAGTGGCACAGTTGGTAAAGCATCTGACTCTTGGTTTCAGCTCAGGTTGTGATCTCAGGGTCATAGGATCAAGCCCCGCATTGGCTCTATGCTCAGCATGAAGTCTTCTAAAGACTCTCTTTCCCTATCTCTCTACCCTTCCCCCACCCCCGAGGGTGTGCTCTCTCTCTCTATCTCTCATAAATAAATAAATCTTTAAAAAAATAAAACTGTCTTCAAAGAGGTTTTCTGGCTTAATTTGTACATAGCAGTATGAGATGACAGAGATGTGAACCTTGCCTTCAGGAAGATCACAGTCTTATGGGGACAGGGGAAGTTACCTATGCAAACACCTGATTGCAGAGCAGCCTGGGATATGTGTTATAAGATGGGTATAGACAAAATCCTATGGAGGAATAAAAAATAAAAAAGTTTAAATTGAAATGAAGAAGAAATCAGAGAAAGCATTATGGAAGAAATATGATTATGTTAATGATTCTTTTTGACCTAGGTAAACTTTGTCTGTCTCTCAGACAAATAAATAAATAAAATATTAAAAAAAACTTTCAATTTTAATATTATACGTAGAGAAGTGCACACATCACACATTTACAGTTTGGTATAGTTTCACAAAGTGAGCACACCCAAGTAACCATCACATAGGTTAGAAACAGAATATTGCCAACATCCTGGTAACTCTCCTTCTAGGCACTACTTTCCCCAAGGGGGGCATTTACCTTTCTTTGACACTGTAGTTTACCTGCTTTAAAACTATGTTAAAACTTACACTTTTAAGATCTGTTCAGATTGTTGCATATAACCATAGTTGTAGTTTGCTTATTCTTGTTACTGTAAATATACCACGCATTTATTACCTCTTCAACTGTTGATGGTCATTTTTTCCAGTGTGTAGTCATTGTGAATAGTGCTGCTATGAACAACCTTGTACCTATCTTTTTGTGAAAGTATCTGTGTATTTCTGTTGGGACTAGTCCTAGTGGATTTTCTGAGTCATGACATACGCCTATATTAACACAGCTTTTCATGAGGAGGAATAAGGATGACAAAGGACTTCACTGGCAGAGAAAACATTACAAAGACCCATGATAGACAGGAGAGAGAATTCAGAGACTAATGGGCAATTTAGGTGGCAGGAATATACTGTGTTTGAGAGCTCCAGTGAAATGTAGATTTGGAGAGAGAGACAAGAAAGAAGGGAAGAGTTTTGAGAATGCCTCAGCTGTTTCACAGAAAGATCATTATATTAGGCATTCAGCTGCAAGTCACAGAAGACTTCAGAAAGTGTCTTAATCAGATGGTTTGACTTTTCCTAAATACTGAGAAGTTTGAAAGTAGGCCTTTTGCAGGCTTTCACTCAAAACTCAGCAAAGCCATCCAGGATTGAGGATCTGGGATCCAGAGTCTTTTTTACTGTGGCATTCTTAGTATGTTGCTGTTCATATTCTTACTTGTGCTTTTACAGTCTTAAGAAAGTTGCTGTAGCTCTAGATATTAAGTCTAAGTTCAAAGCAAAGAGTGTTGGTGATGTCAACCATGTCAGTCTTTCATCAAGAGAGTCAAAGTTTCCTGAGCATCTCCTCAAAGATTTCCTCTCAATTCTCATTAGCAAAAATGGGTGATGCCCAGCTGAAAGTGAGGCTGGTAGATTGCGGCACAATGTCATTGAAGACTGGCTTATATCAACTACCATCCATTATTCTCATCTAAGCATATCGTTGCTCCAAGGAACACTAGAACCCTCTTTGAAGAGGAAAAAAAAGAAATAGATATGAGGTAGGTGGTTAAATGGGTCTCCCATAATAATGACGGCCTTGGAGTAAAGAATAGGTCAGGGGAAAGGGTTTTATGTAATGTGCAATTTATATTCACATAAGAAAATTGGGAATTTTTATAGAGAAAATTAACATATCATTCCATTAGATACTTTACAACTCACCAGAGCTTTTTATTATTACTATTTTTTTGTTGTTGTTGTTAGTGAGGTAATGTGGTAAAAAATAATCAGGTAATATCTCTTAAAGGGAGTTTGCCTTAGCAAACTATCAGTCACATAAAGTGATTTTTGCCAGAGTTTTTTAGAATAAAGTGAAACCAATGAGCATACAAGCATCATGAGCTGCTGCAATTACAAGTGGAGTGGTGTAAAGAGATTTCCATGATGCATAAATTAAAGCATCCCATCATAAGGCTAACAGATCCAAAATAGCCTCAATTTGGTCTTTCATGTGACTATTTCTATCTCAAACCTGCAGTTGTTGTTTCTGACAAATTAATTTGTCATGAAATAAGTCGAGTTAGTGCAGAGAAGGACAGAACCTTGATTCAGATCTTTCAAAAACTCATATATATTACCCTAAAGAGAGAAAAGTAGTCTTAGGAATTTCCATTTTAAGCAGATCTTGAAAATCAGGGCAGTCAATAAATTCCATTTCCTGATAATTTATTCCCTACCAGCAGCAAAAAAAGGTGCTTATTCAATTAAAGTTCACAAAACGTATTTCTGTCTTTAGTGGCTGTTTATTATCTTATTTGATGTTATGGTGGTGTTACTAAGCAAGGGTAAAGGTTTCTGTATTGGGTAGAATTAAGGGAAGGAACAGGCTCACAGCTGTGTCATCTCCAATGTGATATCGACACAGGTAGACCTAATGGACTGAGAGACTTTCATATCGTACTGTGATGAGTGTTCTGTCCTCAAAGTTTTATTTAGGGAGAAGAAGAAGATGGAGGGAATGTGAGTGTGGTTGGAAGACCTCGTTCAGACTTGAGCTCAGCAACATTTGTGTAACTCTGTTTTCATCTGTGATTAGCAGTGATGAGCAGAATGTTTCCATATTAAGAAACAGTCCCCAGATAGTTTCATATATAATTATAGTCTATTGGTCCATTTCAAAACTATAGGTAGTACCAGTGCAAGTGTTTTTATCAGGAGGTAATTGATGGACACATTTCATTATTCTGAAGGATGTTAAAGATTCAGAATGTTAACAGTCTTAGAAAAATAGTAAGTGAGCTAAAAGCCTTAGCTTTTTTTTTTTAAATTCTAGTTAATTATAATTAAGTCATTGGAGGTATTTGGGGAAGTAAGAGGTAGAGTCTATAGTCTTATCTGGATAGTTTATCACAAAGTACAACCATTTTTTTTTCATTTTGTAGCCTCATATATCTGAAGCACAATATTGGCTGAAGGTACAATAGCCAGACATTCATGCACTAATTCAACAGAATATTAACTGAGATGCTTACCATGGGCCACTGTTCTAGGTGCTGGAACTACAGCAACAGATAAATTAAAATGTCTGATCAGTAGTTCCTGCATCCTTATGGAAACATGTATTTTTCATGGCATTTTCCCAACTTTACCAAATTGCCATGCTTTCCAAGCAGATAGAAGAAAAGAGAGAATACTAGAAACAGGCCTCAGTTAATCTCAACCCAAGAGGTCTCATCAGGTTGTACATCCCTTATTTTTAAAATTTACAATTAAATTATAAATAAAGCACTTTGAATACTGTATATTTTGTCCTATAAGATTGACTGTACACACAGTTCAACATTGCTCTAAAGGTACAACAGTGACTTGAACCATAGGTGTAAATAGTGCAGAATCCAAGTGTGAAAATCTTCAGAATAAAGCATGGTCCAAGAGGTGAGCTTGAGCCGAGGGTAATCGCCCACAGACCTAAAGCTGAGGACTAGGCTGTGGGTGAGCACAAACACAGGGTAAGTCGGTGTTTCATGTGTAGGTGTGGTATTGGAGAGACAAATGGACATAGAACTGGGGATGATCCGTGAACAAATGTCAGGGCTAGAAAAAAGATCATGAAGCATAATCTATACCAAGGTTTTGAGTCAGCATTAGGGACAGGGCTGTGGCTGTGGTCCCTGTAGTCCCTCAGAGAAGGTTAAAAAATTCATACATCCAGATAAAGCCAATAGGTGAGGAAAGCACGTGAAGCAGGAAGTGAGAGAGAACTCTGACAAAGAGAATGACAGCACTTTGCAAAAGGGAAAATGGAGCAGCTGCTGCTCAGCTCCAGCCAATTGGTTCCAGACAGGAATGCAGGCTTATTGTTCCTGGATTTTCTAGAAACTTAAAAAAAAATAAATCCAGAGATACAGAAAATCCAGATATTTGAGGTGAAATCTCATAATTTTAATAATGTTAACATTTCAAATTAAAGCATAAAGCACACTTATAAACACTGCCTTGGTTCCAGTTCCTTTAAAGCTGGTTTTAGTCCTGAACAAGGGATGCTACATCCTTGTCCATCTGTGAGCCTTTGGTGTATTTTTAATGGAATATCTAGCTGTTTTACTAGATAAAGTAAAAATCACAGTCTAATTTTTTAAAAACACAAATTATATCACACTGCTTGTACTCCTCAATGGCTTCCTATTCCATTCAGAATAAAATAAACCTAATCCATCTTTTAAGACCCTGAAAGATGCCCTGCCTACCTGTGCAGCCTCATCTCCTTCTTCCCTGGGCTCACTATTTCCCACACACATGACTATTCTGCTTCTTAGAACTTGCCAAACTTTTCTTATTTTAGACATTTATAGTTTTTTATTCTCTCTTCTGGAATAATTCCCTTTGCTGCCCATGTCTACTGTGTGTTTGGATGGCTCATTCTTTTATCTGGGAATCTTCAACAATATGTTTAAGATGTTTGTAAGAGCCCCCCTGCTGATCATCTAATCTCATCTGGTCCTCTGTGTTATTCCACTTGTCATAAGACACTCATTATTTCCCTCATCCCATACACTGAATGCAATTGGAATTTTTAAAACAAAATTATTTGTTAACATTTTAATTATCTGTCTCATACATTTGACTGTAGGCTCCTGAGGATAAGGGAACCTGTCCATCTAGATCCCTGATAAACTTCAACTACAGTAGGCATTCAACAAATACAAATTAATGGATCACTGCAGGAAAGGATTTGAAAGATTTGTTGATTTACTACTGAATTCTTTGAATATAGATCTTCTAGAAATAGTTCTCAAATTTAGGTAAGGTACTCATCTCTTTTAATGAAAACCTGCATCAGTAGCCATCCAGTGCAATTTAAATTATTTTTTTTACATGTAATATGTATACATAATCTAGGCATAAACTTCTCTTGTTTATGGCTGTTATAAAATTGTAAAACTAGATAATTTACAAATTAATTTGTAAACCAGTCTTACAAAAGCAATTCAAATTAATAATATTCATTTAGAATTATAGGTGATATTTTAATGACATAAAATTGCCTCAGTTTAGGTGTAGTTCCGTATTTAATGTTTCTGTACTCTAATACCCATAATAACTATGCAGAGAATACCTGTTCCCATAAGCATATTGAATAGAACTAATAATTTCTTGGCTTGGTTTGTTAATTGAGGATATTTGGCCTCTCACTTAACTAAATCTTTGCCTGCTAGAAATATTAAAATGTTAAATTTAATTACACATTTTCCAAAATGATTTTCTTTCACTTAAAGATAAAGTTAATAAGTTAACATTACTGAAAACTACATTAAAATGTAATGTGAACTCGTTGCTAGAATTGGGAGCAGCGATATTTGTAATTGCACGTTTGCTATTTATTCTTACCATGAGTAACTTGTTACAGTAATGATATGCTCCAGTCTGGGTTTTCTGTAATGCATCCACTGCAATAAAGTGTCTTCTTAGCACTGATGCCCAAGTACTTCTGAGTTTTCAAAAGTCAGGTGATCACTTTGTCTTCCTATTTCCTGCCATAAGCAATTATGTATTTGGTGAATGGTAGTTTCATCTGACCTCTACTTTGAAACAGGTCATAATCAAAAACAAAAATATTGGTTCCAAATTTTGTGTCAACAATCATTTATAAAATCATCATCCAGATACCCCAGAATACCTCACCTTGCAAATACCTGAGGAAGCATACATAACATATACAAACACGTGCTTTTATTTATAGTATGTATGGAGGTATATATGTTTGTGTGTGTATACATACAAAATTTAAAATTTAAATTCCCATAGGCACCCCCTACCTTGCCCCTTACCCAACTGGAGAAACTGTATTAAAAGATACAACTCTCTTTTAACTCTCAAAAGCCTAGGCAGTGACTATGGATGGTGAGGCTCTAGACCAGACTTGAAACATGTAGGCTTAAAATAAAAATACAAATAGGAAGGTGAATCTCTCTCTAGTAATGTATTGTTGTCTTTGAATTCAGGTCTGGTTAGGGGAAGGTTTATCTGTTCTGGATATCCCATTCATTGGGTTTTCTGGAATTGTGCTTCTCCTGAAGACACCGTTCAAATAAATGCAGTATGACTGGTGTCCCCAGAGCTGTGCAGTGTGTGCCTGTCCATGCTGTGGGAGAGTGAATAACCTTCCCTCTGCCTCTTGGAGGGACCTGCATTTTCCCCATTCTAGCTTTCACAGTCAGCCATCATTTTGGTATTCCCTGTCATAGAGGTCTTCACATTCTAAAAGTTGACTTTTGCTGATAATGCATATTTGGCATCATGGAGTAATGCAAGTAGAATAACGAGCTGTGTTTGCTTTTCATGCCAAGATGTGACAGGGGGGTCAGCACCACTTATATCTTATACGCAAGCCTGGATTGAAGGGTTTGTGTGGTGTTTCGTATTCTATATTCACATTAGGTTCTGGAACAAGTTCTAGATCAATAAAAACAATGATCTCTTCTTTTTAGGGGAATAGAATGATCTCCATTGGATTAAAAGAACATCTGATGGTTGGGTGTTCTTTTGCATGGAGATCAAAATCTTTGCACCTTGGAGTAATGATGGAGAGGGCTCTCTAGGGGACACACTTGCACTTGTCACAGTATCAGTTCTCCTCAGGATTCACTTTCTCTCCAGTTCAACAAGACCAAGATAGATTTTGCCATCTTACCTACTTAACTGGGGCACCTTTGGGTATCCTTCATCTCTATTAGGGATATCATCAGTTTTCTAATCTTCTAGTATCAGGTTCTTGGATTTACCTTAACACTTCATTTTATTTTCTTTGCTGTTGATAAATCACATAGCATTACCACACTTTTCCTTACAAAGCATATTATGCTCCAAGTGCTTCATAAGAATGTAATGGCTCCCTCGAATCTACAGTAGAAAGGGCACCCCTTAAGCTTCACACTTATTCACAGTTTGGCCTTACAACAATTCTTATTACCTACTGCTATCCAGCACAGCCCATGTGATTGTTACATGGATTATTTCTCCATCTTTGGCACATATGAACTCATTTTTCCTCTAAGCTACTATTTGTGTGTGTGTGTGTGTGTGTGTGTGTGTACACACGTACATAAATAATAATAAATAATTATATATTTATTAAATATATATTTTTATTATAAAATTATAAATATATACATATTTCTACTTGAATCCATTTTAAGTTTTTCTCAATTAATCCAAATACTACCCTTTTCTCAAGTTGTGCCTCAACCACACTTCTCTGTGTTGGCAATTGACGTTGAAATGATGATTCTTTGGTGTAAATTCTTATCATTCACATGCGTAGCTTATCACACTAATTCATCCATGTATATCAAGTTATTTATTTCTATTATTTGTCAATTTTAATTGAATTGATATTTACTAAATTCTTATCTGTGACTTATCACATTTTAGCATCTTAAGGAAATATCAGACATAATTCTGTCCAAAAGAGGTATTCAAAATCCAGTAAGAAAAATAAGGTATTTTCACGTGCAACCATTATATAGAGTTCTGTTTTTCTTTGAAGGGTAAGCAAGTGGGCACCTGGGTGGCTCAGTCATTTAAGTGACTGCTTTCTATTCAGGTCATGATCTTAGAGTCCCAGGATCCAGGACTGAGTCCCACACTGGGCTCTCTGCTCAGCGGGGTATCTGCTTTTCCCTCTGCCTCTCCCCCTGCTTGTGCTCTTTCTCCTTCTTTCTCTCTCTCTCCCTTGCAAACATAAAAAAAAAAATCTAAGGGAAAAAATTACATATGAAAGGTTATAGGAGTTTAGAAAAGGAGAGGTTGAAATTAATGGGAGTATGTGAATCCCCAGGAAGGAGGTGGCATTTGAACTGAGCTTTGAGACATGGGTGGAATTCAGGTAGGCAGAAAGGAAGCATTCTAAGAGGTTGAATAACGAGAAAAAAAAATTTGTGAGTGGCTACAAGTAAGGGATTCAGAGGACACCTGGGTGTCTAGGAATGTAGGACTGCAGATTCATAGGGAAGTGGAGCTTGGAAAGTTAAGTAGTTGGAAATGAGACCAGAAATATAAATTGAAGCCAGGCTGTCAGTTGTACAAGATTATAAATTCTATCCTAAAGTGTTTAGACTTTATTCTTTAGATGATGGAAAGTTGAATGCTTTGATCACAGAAATGAATCAATCAGTATTTGATGATAGATATTTTGTCTTTGGAACCGAGTTAGATGCTATTCATTTTGAGGAAGATATCATGTAAATTATAAAGAATTGCTAAATTATTTCACAGATCTAACATCATCCACTCAGTACCTTTGAAAATTATATCATCAGCCTTTTCTTTTACTCCCAAGGAGAGTAAGTCCCAAGAAAGTTTAAGTAATCTGCACAAGGTCACACAACTAAAAGGCATAGAGTCAGGAATTTCTCCATAAGCTAAGATTCATACTCCATGCTTTCCTTCTTTACCCTGTACCTTTTTCTCAGTTGAATTTTTAGTTTTCCAATAAAAGCTTCGATCCTCATTTAGTATACAAAATTAAATAATGTATAAATATGTTATATGTGTTATTTTTCTCACATGCATTCTGCTTAGTTCTTTCCAGATACTGAAACACTGAGGGTACAATCTCTTGTATGACTGAGGTTCAAGACCCAAATTTGAAAACCTATAAATGGTTTTATTTATAAAATCTATTAATGGTCCCTATAAAGGGTAGCATCCTTACCATTCTTAGCAGGGATGAGGTTGGTATGTAAGGATGACATAATATTAAACTCTCGGGCCCAGGGGACCTCATTAGTTGTAACTTCTAAAAATCATCCTACCTTCTTCAGATGGCTTCTTTGGCTCTTCATATTTTGAAATAAATGTATTTTCAGCCATCTTTAGGGTCCATTTTCTTGGCCTCTGACTAAGTATAGGTTCTGAGAAGAATTGAGCAACACACATGGTATAGTGATAAAAATGCTCTTGATGAGAATTTATAGAAAATCTGTCTCAATATAGTTTAATTGCTAAGGAGATGATCTGGCTCATTGTACCAGGAAATACAGAGATAGTCCAGACTTCAAGGTTGGTTGGTCAAGTGGTCCAGCTCTCTTATCAAGAATTTGATTTCCTCTTCATCTTCTGCTCAGCCATCTACAGTGTTGGCTTCCTTCTTAGACTAGTTTCACTTGTAGCCATAGATAGAATGCTGCCTGAAGCAAACTCGGACTAGACCCAGTGGGATGTATAGGCTACCACTGAATACAAATTTTAAAAAAATTTCGTGCCAGAGAATTATCATTTATACATTGCTGCAGACATAGTTTACAAAGGTTAACCTTAAACAGTTTGTTTAGGTGGGATTCCATGACTGATGTAAAGTAATTAGGACCTTCCTCTAGAGCTGGTATACTGGTGATTCTGATCAAAACAAAATGGCTGCTGTCCAGTGGAGACTGAAAAGAAAGAAACAGTATCTACTATACATCAGGATAAATTATATTCTTGAAGCCATTTATGCTTTTTCCATTTTCAAATAGTTTTCTTTTTAATTTATATCAACATACCTTTATCTGAAATTTATTTTGGGGACTGCTGATGAAGCCATTACTCAGCAAACCCTAGAGGCCTTTGAAGTGAAATTTCTGTTATATATAGTATTCTGAGCAAGACATGCAGTGAATGAAAAATTTCATCTGTCAGCATTATAGTTACTTCATTTTTGGGGGGAGGTTAAATACAGCATGTTCTTTTAGAAAA